ATGAAATGCGTCTGTGCTTCCCACACAATAAGGACAAGATAGTCTACCATGCGTCGTCCAACCTGACAACATCCCGTATGCAGGAAAGTCACTAATGGTCCACAAAAGAACTGCTCGCATTGTGAAGTTTGTTTTTGTTGAACAATCATATGTTTGCACGCCTGTTGACCATAATTCCTTCAACTCTTTAATCAAAGGCTGTAAAATAACATCCAGTGACCTCTTTGGATGCTTTGGTCCAGGTATCAATATACTCATGAAAAGCAATTCCTTTGCATTACACATCTCTGGAGGGAGGTTGTACGGTGTCAAGAAGACTGGCCAAAGCGAGTATTGTCTTCCAGACATTCCAAATGGACTAAAGCCATCTGAACAGAGTCCAAGATAAACGTTCTGGGGGTTACTTGCAAAATCAGGGTACACCGAATTCAAGTGTTTCCACGCTTTTGCATCAGAGGGATGATTGATCTCGCCTTCTTTCTGGGTATGTTCCGCATGCCATCTCATTGATGATGCCGTCTTCTCAGATTGATATAATCTCTTCATTTTATCCTTAATGGATAAGTACCACATCCGCTGGTACGGAACACTATTCCGTCCACGTCCTTGCGGTTTATATCGCGGCTTCTTGCAAAATTTACACTCTAACAATTCGACATCATCTCCCCAGAAGATCATACAGTTGTCTATACAGACATCTATCATCTCTGAAGGCAAGCCAAGACTATGAACAAGTTTATGAATCTCATAATAAGATTCAGCAGACAAATTATCTTCAGGCAAATACTCTTTAAACAACTCAGCTCATGCATCCATACAAACTTCAGGTAAGTTATGATCAGTTTTGATATTCATCATCCTAGCAGGCAATGATAATTTAGAAAGACCTTCTCTACAACCTTCATAAATTGGCTCATTAGCTGCTGCTAGCATTTCGTAAAATCTTTTTGCATCCAAGTTAGGCCCCTCTACATTTTCTACCTCCTCTATAATAGATGTTGTTTCACGAAATGCATCTGTGACCATATCATGCATCCTATCATGATCTACCATATGATGATCCTCTTGAAGGTAACTTTCAAAAAGCAAATGTGGTTCCTCTCTGTTATGAACTATTTCAACCTGATTACTACTACTAGCTTCATTCCTATTATCACCTTCTCCGTAATTATACCAGATATAGTAATGTGGAGTAAATCCTCTATTTACTATATGTTTCCAAACCGTTTCACTAGCAGCAAACTTCGTATTGTTGCATTTACGACAAGGACAGAACATTTTACCCGTTTCCTGTGTGAGAGACGTTTGTCCGGTCTGGTTCATGAACATCTCTGCTCCGTTGAGAAATTCATCAGTTACTATTCCTCTTGAATCTTTATGTGCATACATCCAACTCCGGATCTCATAAATATTTTTAGACATTTTTTTAAAAAAGTTTTCTGTTTTTTTTTTTCCGTTTTAAGAATGAGGAAGAAGATCATATTTATAGAGAAATTTTGATTTTGGTATGTAGTTAACTTAGTAGTTAAACAGATGCAAAATGGATGCAAAACAGTTAGTCGTAATCTGGTAGCACTTTTACGACCAATTTACAACCAAATACTAGTTAATTGGTGGTAAAATATATTAGATGTATATTAGTCGTAAAATTACAACCAATGAGTGACAAATGGCCTTTACGACCAATTAGGGACTACATTTGTAATATTTTTTTAAAAAAGAGAGAAGAAAGACACTGGAATCACAAGTCCATAGATTCTAAGCGAAACCAACGTTTCAATGTTAGTCCCGCATTAATCTTTTTGGAGTTGTGATCCCAGTATCTTTTTTCTCTCTTTTTCTTAGATTTTTAAACTCTTCGACACAATTATCAACTCTCTTTTTTAATATATTTCAAAATATTAGTTTAGAAATATTTGAAAAAGAAGAGAAGAAAGATACTCGAATCAAAATTCCGTGGATTCTATGCGAAACCAACGTTTCAACCTTCGTCTCGCATTGATCTCTTCGGAGTTTTGATCCGAGTACCTTTCTTCCCTCTTTTTCAAATATTTCAACTCTATATTTAAGATCTCTATGTGTAAAATATTTTAAAATATTTGTTTGTCTTTTGGAGAAAACGATGGCTCTTTTATAGGGGACATTACGACTACCTAGCTTCGAATATTTACGACTAATTAGCATCTTGGTCCATCATTTAATCGTAATCTAGTCGTACATTACGACCAATTAGCATCAACCTACCATTAAAGCCTTGACCGAAATCCTAAACACGAGTGATCGTACACTAGTCATAATTTAACGACTACAGTACGTTTACACGGACACGTGGTCGTATATTGGTCGTTATGTTACGACTAATGTACGTCTAGTGAAATTGGTAGCAAGTTAACCTCTGTTTTACGACTAATGCTTTTTTATACGTAATGTAGTCGTAAATGAGATGGTTAATTACGACTACACATATGTAGTCGTAATACCTAGTCACTATAACAGCGTTTTCTTGTAGTGTCAACATCACGAACAAAATCTTCAGCGTAGACAACACGAAGAAAACTCTAATCTTGGACGAGGAAACAGACAGGAGTTGCCCGCAGGTCACCATCCTCCTCGTTGAGAGACAGGTTTCAGGGTGGAAATACCAGAATTCTTAGGAACTCTCAATCCCGAAGAATTCATTGATTGGATCAGCATGGTAGAAGAAATTCTAGAATTCAAGTAAGTTCCAGAAGAGACTAATTTATCGTGAAGTAAAATTGGTTAAGCTTATACATACAAAAATGGTATGTTTATTACTTCAAAATGAAGAAATAGATTTAAGGAAATTAATTGTATTATAAGTAGATAGATAAAATATGATAAATAAACTACAAAGACAAAGAAAAAAGAAAAAAAAAAGAAGAAGAGAAAAAAAAATGAACATGAAGAAAGTGTCAGAGTTTCTTAAAAATAACAATTGAATTTATTAGTGGTTGTAAATTTGTAATGTTTATTTACAAGTGGTTAAAAATTTTAAAATATGAAATTACTTTTAAAAATGTAATTTTGGTGGTTTGGATTTGCCAGTTTTTTTCACAAAATCATAGATGATTTGATATATTGAATTTTGAGTTTCTGTTTTATTAAGTTTTTAAAGATTGTAACACATGTCAGTGACACAATACATGTCATCTTTGATTGTAATACATGTCATCAACGATGGAGTTTTCTTCACCGGCACAACGTCGTCTCGAGACCCTTCGCTCTCATCTTAATTCTTCTCCGGCTGATGATCCAGCAGCCTCTCTCTTCCTCAACGCCACCGCTTCTGCTTCACCCTTCTCCAACGTTGAGCACCCTATATGTTTAGAACGTTACGTTTAATATATTTGATCTCTGTTGTGTTTACCTTTCAGATTGAGCTTTTCATTTTTCTATAGAGGATAGCTACAGCGTTGTGCTTCCAGAAAAGCTGGACACTGGGAAATGGAATGTCTACAGGTCTAAACACTATGTTTTCTTTGCATTTTTATACTCTTGAGATGTTGTTGTTACGTGCGTTTGGTTTAACGAGTGTGTATGTGATTATGGTGCAATTCTGTTTTCTCCGTGCCAGATCTGCAAAGTCGCCTACCAAGCTCATCAGCAGATTCCCTGATCATCCTGAGATTGGGACTTTGCACGACAACTTTGTGTAAGTTCTTTGACCTTTGTTAGTTTATGAATTATAATCTAACGCTGGAAATTGCTCTGTTTTTTTTTGTTTGGAATATTCAGACATGCTGTTGAAACATATCCTGATAACAAGTATCTTGGCACACGAGCTCGTCCTGATGGAACCGTTGGAGAGTGAGTTTTCCAAAACAAATCTTCTGTAACTAACTTTTGGTGTGAAGTGGGTTTATGTGATATGTTTTTGTGTTTGAAGGTACACATGGATGACATATGCGGAAACAGCTTCTGCTAGACAAGCCATAGGTTCTGGACTTTTACATAATGGAATTAATCATGTAAGTCATTCTTATTTGGATATGAAACATTCAACGTTTCTCATTATTGATCTGTATGTTTGCCTAAAGACTTGAATTTAATGGAACAGGGAGCTTGCGTTGGACTCTATTTTATCAACAGACCAGAGTGGTTGGTTGTTGATCATGCATGTGCAGCATATTCATTCATCTCTGTTCCTTTATACGATACACTTGGTACCTCTCTCTCTCTTTCACTTTGAACTTTTTGGTGTCTGCAAGCAATTGTCTTTTCTTTAATATGATTTTCTGTGTTACGCAGGTCCAGTCGCTGTTAAGTTTGTTGTGAATCATGCTACTCTTCAGGCTATCTTTTGTGTACCACAAACTTTAAATACAGTATGTGTTGTTGATTTGTTCCAGTATCTTATGAGAACCAGTCCATGTGGTTTAAATTGTTTTTTTTATATAATGGGGGAACTATGCAGTTGCTAAGCTTCCTAGCTGAAATCCCATCGATTCGTCTTGTTGTGGTATGTACTTCTTAGATGTGTAATTTCACTAAGTTTTTTTATATATACTTTGCACTTATTTATCTTTATCTGCACTGTGATAAGGTGGTGGGAGGGGCTGATGAGAATTTGCCATCACTTCCTCCAGGTTCTGGAGTCAAAATTGTATCATACCAGAAGCTATTGAGCCAGGTAGTCTTCTACAATGTGTTGTTTATCTATGGATATGTTATTTTTCTTTGGTAGAGATTTCATGTTGCTACTGATTTATTTTTCTTAGGGTCGCAGTAGCTTACAATCCCGATGTTTCTAACCACACGATTTGGCCTGATATGTTATCATGTCTTTTTCCAACACACATTTTCTTGTTTTAAATTATTTTAAATCAATTTTTTAAACATTAAAATCGTATAAATATATTAAAAAATATTCAACTTGATATTGAATATCTTTTTTTTCTAACTGTAATTTTAATATACTGGAACCTATTTTAACGTGAGTCTACAATCTTATATTTCACAAATGTATTTTGTAATTTGTACTGCTGCCTGTCTAGAGTTCAAATAACCAAACAACTACTATCTATACACATGGAATATACACAGGGCTTAAGACATGTAGAAGTTATACCCCACGTAAAAAATTTCATGTTATTTTGAAATGAATTTGAATCAATAAATGAATTACTGTCTTAAATATCTTTTAAAATATCTTATTATCCATCTGCGCAACAAACAACAACATATACATACACGACTATTTATTATAAAAATTATTTAATGGTCTAACCAAATTATTTTAGAAACGGTAAGTAAAACAACTCGATGGTGGCCTGCGTAGAATACACATATAGAAAGAAGAATCAAACCTCAGTAATCTACCAAACACTGTTGCCATTATTTGACGATGATGTTGATTTGAATTGGTGATTATTAAAAAGTTACTTTTTTATCAAGTAAAAAACTGATCTGTTTAAAAAGTAAAAACAATAATTTGACAGTTTTTTTTTCAAAACATTTAATTAGTCAAAAATTATAAAAATCAAAATTTTAAACATCAGAAAATTAAAGTAAAATTTGAAAAATTAAACAAAAATTCAGAAATAAATAAAATTTAAAAAGATGAAATTGAAATACAGAAAACTAAATTAAAATTGGAAAATTAAACAAAAGTTAAAGAAAGTTCACAAAAATTAGAACATGCAAAAACTAGAAATAGGTTTTTTTTATTACAAGATTATGTTTCTAAGAAAACTATTTGAAAACATCCCCATCAACAGTAATATGCTTGAAACTTTTATTGTCAACTAATGATATGTTAGTTTTTATTGAAAAAAACGCATAAAATTACAAACATATCGCTATTGACGATGATGATGGTTTCAAAAAGTTTTCTTGAAAAAAATACTATAATTTTATTTAGAAAATCTATTTTGAATTTTATTAATTTGTGAATATTATTTATTTTTTTGAATAGATTTTCTGAATTTTAATTTATCTTATTTTTTAAACATTTTATTTAATTTCTGAGTTATTTTTTTGTTTAGTTTTCTGAGTTTTTATTTTGTTTTCAGATTTGTTTATAATTTTATTGATTTTATTTATTAAATAATTTAGTGTTGGAAAAGAAACTGACATGTCATCGTATTTACCTATTCAACATGTCAATTTTTTACTTGATGAACAAGTAAGTCAAGTTAAAGATTTTTTTTGGTGATACATTGCTACTTTGAAGGTTTAAAGTGCTAATGAAAAACTTCAAGGTTTAAAGTATCAGTAAGTATCACTTCATGGTTTTTGTGCGATTTTTTGTGGTAAGTGATAATTTGACATAGATTTATTTTTCTATATAATATTTTTAAATACTTTTTCTATAAATTTATCAAGTGCAAGACGTAAATCGTATCCTAGTATTCAGAGTATTTGACAAAAGATGAAATATGTGAAATGATACAGCTTTCATATTAAGGTAAGTTGATATTATGGTTTAACCATTTTTTTCTTTCGATTGTATTCTTGATAAATTGACATAGAAAAAATTAAATGCCAATGGAATAACTTGTAATTTTGTTTTGTAAAGCCAATGGTAAATCCCCAAAAGGGTTGTTATTTTAATAGCAAAAATAAATTTACAGAAGCAACTAAAATTAATTTGATGTTAGCTAGAAATTTAAATTATATATTATTTTAAAGCTAAATATTAAATAAACAAGTATAACTTATATTATTTTCATCCTTTTTAAGTTAAAAGAGACTAATTTATCAAGAAGTAAAATTGGTTAAGCTTATACATACAAAAATGGTATGTTTATTACTTCAAAATGAAGCAATAGATTTAAGGAAATTAATTGTATTATAAGTAGATAGATAAAATATGATAAATAAACTACAAAGACAAAGAAACAAGAAAAAAAAAAGAAGAAGAGAAAAAAAATGAACATGAAGAAAGTGTCAGAGTTTCTTAAAAATAACAATTGGATTTATTAGTGGTTGTAAATTTGTAATCTTTATTTACAAGTGGTTAAAATTTTTAAAATATGAAATTATTTTTAAAAATGTAATTTTGGTGGTTTGGATTTGCCAGTTTTTTTTCACAAATAGATGATTTGATATATTGAATTTTGAGTTTCTGTTTTATTAAGTTTTTAAAGATTGTAATACATGTCAGTGACGCAATTTGTTTGAACCCTATTAATAATTGCTAGCTATACAAATTGTACAGTTCAACCTATTTATAATTAATATAAGTATGAGATTAAACAATTTTCTTTACAAAGGTATCATTGATATTTTCTATTAACACTCAATATCACATATTCATAGTTTAGTATATAAATATATGTATCCTTTTAGTGTGTTATCTATGTGTAGTACATAATTTCATACCAATTACAATATTAAGTGGTAAGTATAATATATCAATAAATATGGAAAAACTAATAATATTCAAAGTATTTGAAAAAAAGGAAATATGTGAAATAATACAGATTTCATATTAAGGTAAGTTGATATTATGGTTGAGCCAAATTCTCTTTCAATTATATTCTTGATAAACTTAAAGAGAAATAATGAGAAGCCAATGGCAAATCCCCAAAAGGGTTGTTGTTTTAATAGCAAAAAGAAATTTACAGAAGTAAATAACATTTAATGTGATGTTAGCTAGAAATGTAAATTTTATCTTAAACCTAACACTTAAATAAAAAAGTGTAAATATAATTATTTTCATCTTTTAAAAGTTTAATTTATCATCAAGTAAAATTGGTTACGGTAAACATACAAAAATGGTATGTTTATTACTTCATAATGAAGCAATAGATTTAACGAAATTTATTGTATTATAAGTAGATAGATAAAATATGATAAATAAACTACAAAGACAAAGAAACAAGAAAAAAATGAAGAAGAGGAAAAAAATGAAAATGAAGAAAGTGTTTGAGTTTCTTAAAAGTAACAATTAGATTAATTAGTGGTTGTAAATTAGTAATGTTTGTTTACAAGTGGTTACAATTTTTAAAATATGAAGTAATTTTTTTAAAAAGTATTTTTGGTGGTTTGGATTTGCCAGTTTTTTTTTTTACAAAACCATAGATTTTTTGATATATTGAATTTGAAGTTTCTGTTTTATTAAGTGTTCAAAGATTGTAATACATGTCAAAGACACAATGTGTTTGAACCCTATTGATAATGGCTAGCTATACAAATTGTACAGTTCAACCTATTAATAATTACTATAAATATGAGATTAAACCATTTTCTTTACAAGGTAGAACTAAACAATATAATTGATATTTTCTATTAACATTCAGTATCACATATTCATAGTTTAGTATATAAATACATGTATCCTTTTAGTGTGTTATCTATAAGTAGTACATAATTTCATACCAATTACAATATTAAGTGGTAAGTATAATGTATCGAAAAATATGGAAAAACTAATAATATTCAAAGTATTTGAAAAACATGAAATATGTGAAATAATACAGATTTCATATTAAGGTAAGTTGATATTATGGTTGAGCCAAATTCTCTTTCAATTATATTCTTGATAAACTTACAGAGAAATAATGAAAAGCCAATTGCAAATCCCCAAAGGGGTTGTTGTTTTAATAGCAAAAAGAAAATTACAGAAGCAAATAACATTTAATGTGATGTTAGCTAGAAATGTAAATTTTATCTTAAACCTAAAAATTAAATAAAAAAAAGTGTAACTATAATTATTTTCATCTTGTAAAAGTTAAATTTATCAAGAAATAAAATTGGTTACGTGTAAACATACAAAAATGGTATGTTTATAACTTCAAAATGAATCAATAGATTTAAGGAAGTTAATTGTATTATAAATAGATAGATAAACTGTGAAAAATAAACTACAAAGACAAAGAAACAAAAAACAAAGAAAAGAAGAAGAAGCGAAGAGAAAATGAGCACGAACGTGAGGAAACTGTCTGAGTTTCTTAAAAGAAACAAAGGGATTATCAGTGTGGTGGGGAAGAAAGTCTTTGGTGAAAAGGATCAAGAAAATGTCAACAAAAGTGAAGGCGAAAAGAAAGAAGAGGGTGGAAAAAGTAAGGAAGGATCAACTAAATATGCTGGAGAAGCATCGTCTTCAAAGAATAATGAAGAAGCATCATCTTCAAAGAATAATGAAGAAGCATCAACGTCAAACGTCAACAAGTGACGATAATATATTTATGAAGAATACTTAATTTGCTTATTGTAACCCATGAAGTGATTCATGGCATGCATCTTCTCTATTAAAAGAGAAGTACCAAATTTATCTACTATTTAAAAGTCATATTGGACCATGTCATTAATTATTTAATTTGACATATTTTGATTGTTACATTAACCAGTCAAATATATATTATTTTTAAAATATCTTAATAATTAATAAATATAGAAATAATAAATGAATTTGAATACAACAAAATCTGTTGAAAAAATCTAACAAGATCTTACCAAAAATTTAAATATTGTTTTTATAAAATAAGTATTTCTTTATTTACTTATTATATAATTATAGTTAAAGCTAAAATATAAATCATATATTTACAATTTTTAGTTATATATTTATAAAATAAAAAATATACCCGCACGAATGTGCGGGTGAAACTCTAGTCTTATATTAAGTAATAAAGAGATCGAGAACTTCATTCTAAATTGTTCACCTTTTCTTTTGTCAACAACTGAAACGAGCAAGAAAAAAAAAATATAATTACCCCTGGTGGTTTAACGAACGCGACT